TCAGACTCCAGACTCCCCCAACTAAAATTACACCATTAACTGTGCTCCCTCCTAGGGATCATCAAGCATGCTGTCTCTCTGGAGTTAAGATGAGGAGGTCAAGGTAAAGGCTCTCCATGCCTAATAAGAGGCTCCAAAGAAGGTACTCCTGTGGAAACTTTGTTCATAATGTAGAATGGTACCATAATTATTTTTATTTAAATTAATTGCTATTTGTCATTCTGCACAGTATAGAATGTTGTTCTAGTAAAGAAAGTTATTTTACCTTGTTGAGGACATTGATGACTCCTTACGCACCATAAAAGGACTCCTGGTCTGAAGTTGCTGCATTTACTGCAAAAGGGGAAGGGGAAGGCCACAGTAGGGTTGAGAGTGTAGAGATCATTGGTGCCACTGGAGAAACAGTACCCTAGGACAGAAAGTGTATTAGGACTATAGAACTTCTAATCAGCTCCATAACATGGGGGGATGTGTTGCCTAGCCCATAAAAGAGAACTGCAGCATAAGCATAGAATTTTTTTTTTTCTTCTCTTCACTGGCAGTTTTAACAAAATTAATTATTTAACAGGCCAAAAGGGAGAAAACTTCAATTTTAAAACTGCATGCACTGGGACTTATGTCTTCCTCCTTGTATCACTATTTAGTAAGTTTCATGAATAAAGTAGCGGTAGGATCTTACCAAGGCCATACCATAGGCTAAAAAAAACACATTTACAATTTATGAAGCCCAGTGATGTGTTCTACAAATTTGCTTAGCACTCTACTTGCTTTGAGTTCTACTGAAATGAATAGAAGAAAAAACTAGTAGGAGACCCTGGTCATGTGATCTTTACAGTCATGTGACTGGCTTCTCCTCCAATCACAGAGTTCTCATTGCTGCATTAAGTGGAGAGAACTCCAAAAGTTACTGCAGGCTCTACATACCAGCCTATATTTCATTAATGATATATAAATACACGCCATTGTGTGGATTATCACTAAGGTGTCTAACAGAGAGCAAACAGCCATATTCACTCTCTATTTCAAATGGGTACTTACTGTTTTTCGTCTGTGTACCACTGGAGAAATTTCTTTTTACATCTCGTCCCAAAGATGCAACAGGAAGTTGGAGAAAATCTTCAAAAAGGAGGGATATTGCCATCTTAGACAGTTGTCTCCAAAACATTTGCCCCATTAGAAGATTTCCCCTTATCATGTGTTCTAAGGACAATTCTAAAATTTTGGATGTCCCCTCACTTTCTTTCTTAATGACAATGGTCACAAATACAGACAGAGAAGGGAATCTTACCAATGGGAACACAGTAAAAAAAAAGCCTTACAGAGAGTCTAAATCTTCCCCACTGTATCCAAAACTTAGAAAAAGGTTTTGCCTAGAGATTTACTTCAAATAAATATGCAAGTTGGAAGTTCTGGCTTTTGACTGCATATTTGTTCTATGTGAGTGTCTCACTAGTGTTTTAACACTAGTGTCTTAGAATATTTAACATAAAAAATAAATCAGCAACAGTAACTGCTATATTTCTATTCTGGTAGGGTGTAAATAATAATTCCACTATACAATATCACATTGTCCTTAAATCTGCAATATCCAAAATTTGGTCTTCCTACAAATCGCAGGACAGCACTCAGATACGTTGCTAGAATCCTGAATTCCCACACAGGAATGTTATATCAAATCTTTAGTTTATAATGTTAGCTCAAAGAGAGCTTTAAATCCCCACACTATTTACATGGCACCTAGTGCACGGTATAGATAGTCTTAGCAAAGAAGTGTTACTGGGCAGATGGGAACTTAGAAAACCTTGCATACTTTACTGACATTGAAGAGTGTAGTATATAGTGCAGGAGATGCCAACTGTCAATAGGGGAGGGTTGAATAAAAATTAATCTGCTGCACTGAGCCCTGAATGAGTCTTCTTTTATAGGCTCAGTCCTTCCAAAACTAATATTTCATTTTATGATGAATTAAAACCTTCTAACCCTTTCGTTAACAGTTCCGTCGAAGGCAATGGTCTTTCTTGGTCGTCATCTGATCCACTTAACGTACGCAAAGTTTTATTGCTCAGCATTTCTAGTTTATAAAGTTCGTTGCTCAGCTCTTCAGCATTACCAAGGTTTTATTGCACAGATACATACTCTTCCCTAAGCTGATGCATAATCACTTGACTTTATGACCCTTTATAAATTAGTGAAATGCATCTGTAAGAAAAAGTGCTTGTCCATTCATATTGCAGTTATGAATGTGGAATAAGAGAACTATAGAGCAGAAAAGTGAATACATCAGCAAACTGAACACTTTGCTTTCTTGCGTACAAAATGGATCTTTGTCAGGTGTTTTTTATCATATTGTTCAAAGGCATTAAACGGCAACCCTGAAGCTGATAGAAAAAACACCAACTGGATAACATTAAGTTTGCTAAAGCCTGGTTTATCATAAACATTTGCCATGAAATTTTCATATAATATTTTTCAACTTTTTTCATCTTTTTGTGTTTCAGTGCTGATGTGTATAAAAACTTATTCCAGTGTAAATTGTACTTTCATGCTCTGGATCAGCTACTTGATAGTGAAAATGATGGACCACACCTGTGCAATAACTGTCGTCATGCTTGATTGACAAAAATGTTCTCATCTCTGCAAGGAGAGAGAGAGAGAGGTATATGTGTGGGTGGCTGTAATGAATGAAGCTGAAGATAAACTCAGAACTCGTATTGCAGAAAATGCCAGCTACAAACAACCCCAACAGGAGAGTGCTGCTAAGGATGACACTCACTGTTTACAGTAGTTCTTAGCAGAGAGACAACAGGTGAAAATGCACTGACAGCATCTGTCTTCAGAGGGCAAAATGCGGCCTGGCTGGTCTGGTCCCAGATAAAGGCTACAGTACAGGATTGCAAGTCCCTATCCTGTCCCTACTCATCAGGAACCTCCCTACTCTACCACTTTCCCTGACAGGCAGCTGCTCTTTCCCTATTCTAACCACTTGGCAAAATGCATGCCAAAACCTGGGAGCAGGGATTTTGCTCAGCCAAAGATGGGAACCAAAGGTCATCTGGATGCAGCGCAGCCAACCGGCATGCTGCCTCCAGGGAGCAGGAAACCATAGAGAAAAAGAGTTTCCCTTGACTTCCTTCCAAAGCTGTGATACCACTCCGGTCAGGCACCACCTACAGCAGAGAAAGCAGATTGCACCTGCCTACATACAGTATGCATTTTCTTAACACAAGATAGATGAAGATAAAAATAAGAACATTAATTACCTATAAAAGGCACCTATGTGTTACCTATGCAGAGCACATTAACTTCACCTCTCCTTTCTGTCTGTCCTTCATTTCTTAATTTCAGCACTGAGGACAAAAATATCAGTATGTATGGGTATGGGGGAGTCATTCACTCCCATTCAATCCATGTGAGTGTGCTAGAGCTTGGCAGTTGGTGCTCAGGTGCCCATGGCTGTCACATGGGGGAGTAAGCTCCAAGGGGGGCTGGAGCAAAAGGAAGGTAAGCATAAAAATAATGAAAGTATTAAAGTGAGCCTTTTTTTTTTTACTTTCCATGGGCTTTATGGATTATGATTTATTTTATTTTCCACCGTAGTGCCTCCCCCATAGGGCCATTGATAATAGCTGGTTCTTCACAAATAATATAGAGACTGTCCATCAACACAAGCACCAGTATATGTACAGTCGCTCCAATAAGTCATTCTAGGGGATGGCTTTTGATATTTATTGCTGAAGAAAACAGTATCATTAGTAGTAATCAGCATGGCTTTACAAAAAATTGTTCTTGCAAAACCAACCTGTTAACATTCTATGAGGAAGTGAGCTGCAATCTAAATAATCTAGATAAAGGAAGGGCAGTGGATGAGGTGTGCCTGGATTTTGCAAAAGCATTTGATACAGTTCCCTATAGGCACTTGACCATAGGCATGGACCAGAGGGTTTGTACATAGATAGAAAACTGGTTACAGGGGTGCATCCAAAGGGTGGTTATTAATACCGTGTTTACAAATTGGTCTGGAGTGGTAAGTGGGGTACCCCAGGGCTCTGTCCGAATCTTTTTAATTTTTACATAAATTATATAAATGTTGGTATAAATAGCTCAATCTCAGTGTTTGCTGATGATACAAAGCTAAGTAGGGCAACAACATCACAGCAGGATATAGAAACTTTACAAGACCTCAATAAAATAAAGAAGTGGGCAAATACATGGCAAATGAGGTTTAATGTTGAAAAATGTAAAATAATGCACTTGAGGTCTAAAAATATGAATGCAAGTTACATGCTAGGGGGGAAAACCTCTGGGGAAATCCTTGATGGAAAAGGATTTGGGGGTCCTATTAGATGACAGGCTCAGCAATGTCATGCAATGCCAAGCTGCAGCAAGCAAATCTAGCGGAATATTAGCATGCATAAAAAGGGTATTTACTCCAGAGATAAAATGATAATCCTGCCACTTTATAAAACTCTGGTCCGGCCACATCTGGAGTATGCCATCCAGTTCTGGTCACTAGTCCTCAGCAAGGATGTGCTTGAGCTGGAGAGAGTCCATAGAATAGCAGCAAAGTTAATAAGGGGGCTGGAAGACCTCAGTTACAAGGAAAGACTTTAAACATTAACCACAAGCCTACAGGGCACTTATACCCCCTTCCTGCCCAGGCCAATTTCCAGCTTTCAGCACTGTTGCACTTTGAATGACAATTGCGCAGTCATGCAACACTGTACCCATATGACATTTTTATCATTTTTTGTGTGACAGATAGAGCTTTATTTTGATGGTATTTAATCAACTCTGGGTTTTTTTTTTTTCTTAAACAAACCAAAAACCACTGAAAATTTAGAAAAAAAAGTTAGTTTTTGTTATAAAATTTTGTAAATAAGTGATTTTTCTCCTTCACTGATGTGCGCTAAAGAGGCTGCAGTGATGTGCACTGATAGGCTGCACTAATGGACACTGATAGGTGGCACTGATGGGCACTGATGAGGCACTGGTAGGTGGCACTGATGGGCATTGACAGGCATCACTGATGGGCACTGAAAGGCAGCACTGATATATGGCACTGATAGGCGGTACTGACTGGCACTGATAGGCGGCACTGATGTGCACTGATAGGCGACACTGACTGGCACTGATAGGTGGCACTGATTGGAAGCACTGAGAGGTGGCACTGATTGGCATTCATAGGTGGCACTGACTGGCACTGAAAGGCAGCTCAGATGGGCACTGATATGTGACATTGATGTGCACTGGTAGGCACTGATATGTGGCATTGATGTGGCACTGATGGGCACTGGCACGTGGCACTGATAAGCACTGACAACTGGCACTGATGGACACTGACAGGTGGCACTGCTGGGGCTACACTGATCATCAGGGCACACTGATCATCAGTGCTCTGATGATCAGTGTACATGTCACCTTCGCGGAATGCCGATTACTGGCTCTTCTCTGGAGCTGTCAGCCTGACAGCTCGAGAGGAGAGAAATGCCTATAACCGGCATTTTCCTGTTTACATGTGATCAGTTGTGATTGGACACAGCTGATCACATGACCAAACCGACATCTTCGGCTCTCTCCGTTGATCGGAAAGAGCATATGACGTCCCCCCCAGAACGAGAGAACCACCTTGCGTCCGTCATATTACTATATGGTGGGCGGGAGGTGGTTAAACTTATTCTCCCTATAGAAGAGACTCTTGAGCGGCGATATGATAGCGATATACAAATACATCAGTGGTGATTCTAGCATAGGGAATAAACTATTTAGTCTCAAGGAATATAAGAAGACAAGAGACCACCTAATGAAATTGGAGGATAAGAGGTTTAACCTTAAACTGCATAGGGTTTTTTTAATTGTCAGAGCGGAAAGGATGTGGAACTCATTTCCACAATTGGTGATGTCAGTGGGATGTATTGATAGTTTCAAAAAAACTCTTAGATGGGCATCTTAGCGAACACAAAAACAGGGATATGGTATATGATTTTTGACATGAGCACACACACACCCACATAGGTTGAACTGGATGAACTGGTGTTACATAAATAAATGAAAAGATACCAGTTTATCTAATTTACAAGCTCCAGAAGGCTAATAAGACACATTATACCTCTTAAGAGAAATACGCATAAGACCTATATTATGTTTGGTCTCTAACAAATGAATATGTAATTCTCTCGCATTATACATTGGTTTAAGATTATGAAACCTTATCATATGGAAATGTAGATGCATTTAGGATAATTGGAATTAAGGGTGTGCCTGCTGAACATACTGTAGTAAAAAAAAACTCTGTAAAATATCACCAAACCTTTTGAACCCTTTGAATGGGTACAGCTAATGATGTAACTCTATTTCCATGGACAAGAAAAACTGTTGTATTTGGTAGCTCTTAGCTATAGTTAACTGCTAAGAAATCTGAGTCACATTACCAGGACCAATGATTCTTGCTCATCAGATCCTGCACTTTGAGTGATCTAAACTCTGCACTGAACTTAAGATCAGATGGACTTCACCTTTTTTCACTTTTCAAACCCTTTTATGTTACTGTTGCTTATGTCTGGTTTGTAATAATTTTTGTTTCAATATTTCCATCACCGGTTTTACTTTTAATTTCATTAAAATAATATTTAAAAAACATTAAGCTAAATATCTGTATGCTCCAACTAAAAATTAAAGAACTTTGCTTCTGTAAAGAGGTACCATAGTGTAAACTCTGTTACATTCTTGTCTGGACATGGCATCAATTGATAGAGACATTTTTAAATGCCAAATTGCAATGGCAAATGCTGTGAATGGTGCATTAGCAGCTTGCTGCCCGCTCACAGTATATTTACTGTGAGCAGGCGGCAAAGCCAGGCACCATAATGTACCTGTACATCACAAATAAACATCCTGGTTTTCAAGCGCTCATGCGCATGCCCCCTGCTGACCCCTGCTGTGATTGGACACAGCATGAGTTTGTCATCAGGTTTCAGCCAATGGTTTTAGCTGAAAACTGCTGATCAGCTGTGGCCAATCACAGCACAGTCTACAAACTACACGAACTCAGTTTGTTCTTCCTGAAAAGCAGCTCCCATTACATACATTACACTTGTTAGGCTCACAGTTAACCTCTTGATTTCCCCTTAATGTTAACCCCTTCCCAGCCAGTGTCATTAGTACAGTGTACAGTATTATCACTGTATTAGTGTCACTACTGACGTCAGTTAGTTAGTTAGTGCCCCCCCAACCAGTGTCTCTTAGCACCAGATTGCCCACCACACATAGGGTGCATTTTTCCTACACAGAGCTGTACTGAAAGTAGTAAAATGCACTGGAATGCACTGGAACGCACTGCAACGCACTGGAATGCACCAAAAATGCATGGGAACACACATGTCTTTATTTAAATTGAATCAAAAGAGAGGGGAAAAATTACCTGAAAGCATAAAAAACGCACATGCAGAAATGCATCTGGAATGCATCTGGACTGAGCTTCTATGGTGTGAACCGGCCCTTAGTCATAATCTGCGGCCACTGCAAAGATCTCTGAAGGAACGGTACGGGTATGTTGTTCCTTCAGAACGCATGCTCCAGAAACACCACCGGCTGCCGCAAAAGTAATTATCCCCTAAACAGTGCAAGTTTAGGAGACATTTACTGTCCTTATAGGTAAGCCTTATTATAGATTACCTATCGGTAAAAATCAAAGAAGTTACTTTACTACCACTTTAAAGAACAAATGACTTGTTTGTTTTGTAGCAATTGTTATTTTGGATATTCTGAAAGCCACATTTCTAAACTAAAAGTTCATAAACTGTGTGAGCATTTGTCAAATCACAGTTACAATAATTGTACAATTATAAACCTGTTTTTTTTTTTTTTTTGTCGAAATTAGATTTTTTTTTTTTTCTTTTGCTATTATGCATAAGGCATTATATTGTTCATTAGTGATTTTCATTTAATATAGCAAATGTTTTCTTTGTGAACATGTCCTGCTCTGTTCTTTGCATTGAGTTACAGCAGATGTCAGAATGAACTGTCTTTTGAACACTGTGTTCTATAAACCCTCCTACAACCTGGCAATATTTATGAGAGCTCAAATGACACATCACGGACTGCTGCAGGCATCCGCTATATAAACCTTCCCCAAGAAATCACTGAGAAAAAAGGCTTTGGAGTCCTCTTACTCAAGACCTAGACCTACCTGCTAGACGGGACAATTTTAAATATTGCAAGCAGATTGTTAGATGCTTAACAGGCTTTTATCTCTTATGGAACATAAATCCCATTTAACACTCATCAGAGAGCACAGTACAGAAGGTAAAGTACAGACTCATAAATAAATGTATACATTGTTTAACAAGTCATCTGCATTTTTTATATCATCCAAATTGCTTCTGTTTCTTAATGTAAGAATTTGTTGAGCTAATTTGCAAGATATTTTTTGAAAATGCGGTTTAAATGCCTCAAACGGCCCCAAACCATCTGCGCTTCGTACAGCGCATATGAGCCCAGCAATGTCACTTTTCTTTTTGAGTTTCAGATTTGAAAGTGCTGTCTGTTCTGACTTGTGCTGTTTTGTAATTAAATATAATTGTTTCTGTACTTTTTTTTGTCTCTCAGGTACAGTTTAGCTGCATTTTGTACTACTCTTGATACTTGTGTTGTCTGAATTGGGACTATGGCATCTGTTCCATCAGCTGGCTGCCTCTTAGCAAAGAATCAGTTTTACAGAGGTAAGCATCTCAAAGATAGATGCTTTTTTAAAGTTTTTCAAAAAGAAATCTAAAACTTCTGTGCACTTCTAGGCACCTCTATGCATAATCAGGCTTAGTGCAGAGGTAATCAGGCTCGATTCAAAGAGCAGTGATGTGCAGTCACCCATAGCAAACACGCTGTTTCTTCCATCAGTATAGAGCATTCAGAATAATGGAGGGTGATGCTGATTGGTTGCAATGGGCTGTCGCACTGTGTGTTTTGCCTAACTGGTTCCTCACAGCAAAGGGCTTATTATATATATATATATATATATATATATATATATATATATATATATATATAAAAAAATATTATTATTCATTTATTTACTTATTTTTTTTTATTATTTATTTATTTTAATTTTTTTTTGTTTACAGTACGGCTGAATTCTGAGTCTAGTGTGTGTTCTAACAATTCTGACTCTGGACTCCCGGTAGAACCAGAAAAACCATATTCAGGTATGCCTATTATCTTAACTGGTTTCATATGATTTGCACTTATTTTATCCTTATTTTATAGAAATAGTCCATACTCCCCAACTACTTAATGTCCTTTTATTGTATTTTTCATTAAACCATTTCTTCTTACTTTCTTTTTTTCTGCCTCCTTGTAACATCTTCTATGAGCTCCCAACTTCTCCTTTTCCTTCCTCACTTCCATTTGTTTGAAACAATCAGTATACTTTAGCTGCACTGATGTGCACTGTTCTATGCACAATACAATCCCATAGTTCGTAGTCCCTAGTCCATCCTGGGAGTGAGAAAGAGAAGGTGGCTATGCTTTGACTTACAGTGGGACCATAGAGAATGAATGTAGCCACCCTCTAACAGAAAGCCTGATGACCAGACAAAAATGGAATTTGGAGATTTGGAAAAAGCTGAGAGCAATAGAAGATACGTTTTTGAGTTAACAATACATACTTGAACAGAAAATATATTTTTAAGCCAGAGTTTACCCACATGGAAGAAATATTTTAAATATATTTGAAAAATATTCTTCCCAAATTTATTGACATATATTTGAAATACTACAATTTTGGCCATAAAAAAAATAATTCAAAATATATGAAAAATATTTCTAAAAATACATTTTCAAATATATGTCTTTGAAAATACATTTATTCTACATTTTTGTAATGCATTTACAAATATATGTACAAATATATGTTAAAATTACTTTTTTATATGTCAAAAAAAATCTGAAGAATATATTTTAAAAATATATATTTTTTAATATATGCCTTTAGAAAATATAAATTTAAATTTACATTTTTTTAGAATTCATGTTAAAATATATTAGCATAGGCCAATATATTGTAAATATATGTCACATATATAATTAAAAAAAACTGTACTAAGAGTATATGGAGGCTAAGGTTCCTAACCTCTCCTAAAAATACTAATTGCCTGGTCATCATTCTGAGCCTCTGGCTTCAATACTTTAATCATGTATGCAGTTAAGAACGTCTGAGTAGCCCAGTGGGTTTCTAAAGATCAGATCTGGAGCAAGCATGCAGATGAAGTGTTTTAGCCAGGGGTGGACTGACAACTCATGGGGCCCCTGGGCAATAGGGGATCATGGGGCCCCTGTGTCCTTGCCCAAACTCAAAAAAGCCTATGAAAAAGGTACCAGGGGCATCTCATGGGGCCCCCTACTGACCCTGGGCCCTCGGGCAATGGTCAGTCCGCCCCTGGTTTTAGCTTCTCCCTGGCATCCTCAGCCAGTGGGGAAGATAGCCCATTTGTCTAGCTTAGAAAATACGTCAAATGGTAAAAAGGGTTAACTGTGTTCTTTTTCACAGGAAGCTGTGTCT